TTCTTCCCTGTCAGCAAAGGCAAAGGCCAGTCCTGGGCATGTATCTGCTTGCATAGCAGGAGTGTATACAATTCTCTGGTTAGAAGTTATGCCAGTGATACTGTTTTTCTCGGAGAGGGGAAACAGAGCTTGGTTTAATAGGAAGAACTTGGTTCTTTCCCCTGAGAACAGTTTAAAGTTTCTTGTTAAAATCACAACAATGAATGATTTCTCACTGAAATACGAAATGACAAGAGGCCAGGCAAAGAGGAGAATAGCTGGATGAGTTAGGGCCCCAGGGTGCAGGGGAGCAGCAATTCAAGTCGCATGCACTTCTGGTGAATGCTTAGCTAGATGACTTTTGGCTATTTTCGGATTTAAGTACTCCCCGGGGTTTTTTTGTGTTTTGGTTTTTGTTCATGGCAACCTTGGAACGTCATCTGATGTGAAGAAGAAAAATGATCAGCATTTGAAAAATGTGAAAACCACTTTCTACCCATGGGCAGTAAAAGCTGCTTCCTCTTTAGTCATATGGGTCCTCACTGCACTGGTGAGCAGGCTCATACACACACTATTAAAGTGGAAAGATGTCATTTGACAGGAGTCCTGGCTCTTAGGCTTCAGTGAGAGGAGTAAGACCCTGTCCAGGGGCTGGCATGCAGTGCCCTGAGGATGTTTGTGCCTCCTCTTTCAACACCAGTGCCCTTATACAGCCATCCCAGGGGCAGAGGCGGAACAAGCCATCTCTGTACTTGTCTGCATCCTCCTGCTTTGCCACTCATCCACTCGCTTCCTCCAATCTCTCCACCTGTCCCATGCACTCCTCTTACTTCCCATCTCCGTCCCTCTGTATTGCCTCTGACTGAGGTCTTTGGGTGGATGGGGTTCCTGAACTCGTCAGATGGACATGCTGCATCATTTTCCTGCTTATGCAGGTCAACTGGTCTTGAATTCCCTCTTCTTGGTCCCAGGCTATATATTTCAAAGTACCAATACCAGCATGGGAGCATACAAAAACCACTACAGTTACCAGTGAGATGTGGTTACACTGGCATGCCCAGACTCACTGCTACCGTGATGGGTCTCAAATTTCCTTGAGCTAATGAAAATAAATTGCAAAGCCATCAGGAGATTTGCTTTAAGAATTGCTCCTTACAACCATGGCATTATTTCTTGTATTAGAATGTGAGGAAGGTCATTGCAACTTAGTTGTCTGTTTGCTCTTTTCTTTAATGAGAAACTGCAAGGAGGTAGCATAGCTTAAACTAAACTTGGTAAAATTTGTCTCATTCCTCGGGTGGAGCTAGTCGTGCTGCTTTGCCGCTGTCTAAAAAATAACTAACTATGGAAAGCAGTTTGAAATGGGAGTATTATGAAGATAAATGTGAATAATTCATGTTCTGGCATTTCATTGCTAAAACGTAAGACACAAAAGTTAATTTTTCAGCTGATGGTCTAACTCAGATACAATTACTACTTGCAGTAAACATATGGTCAAAGTGGGGGCCAAAGTACAAACAATCATAGAACTGGGGTTAGATTCTAGAATCTAACTATATGTTATTTAGAGTCCTCTGGTAATTTGCCTTCACCCAAAAGATGGGCCAAGCAGGTAGGGAAAAAAATCCTCTGTGAATTATTCACATGCATTACAAGATCACTGTGTATACTCTGATTATATATCGCAAACAACTTTTTTTTTTTAAAAAGTAACCTTAATACACCCAATAAGACCAGAAAAATGAACAACAAAAAAATATCCAAAATTCCTGGCTGGGATATGATTTTGGTCTGCAATGCTTTCCTAATATTCCTAATTTGTCAATGGCTGTAGTCATTTATATAAAACAAATTGCCAGTGGAAGGAGGATCTTCATGATTAGAAGTATGAGGGAAGACATTCACGTGACAAGTTTTCTATTAGAAACAACTCTGAATCAGTGAATTAAAGTTTTAGTTTCCAAATGCAAGTTGAATTGGCTTAATCTAGCTATCTTGGGAAAAAACAGTAGCATGTGTCTTAGCATGTGTTAACAATCAGCCTTCAAGGAACATCCAATACGCTCCTCAATCTTTAGAACATGCTAGAGCATGTGCAACCATGCATCTTAATTGGCTTTCTTCTCCATTTTAGATAGATCAAGCCAACACAAATATACTAAAAAAAGAAATCCCTTGATCACACCTTCATTTTACTGTGCAACCAGATTTTGGATGAACAGTGCAAGACCTCCATGTTTTAGCCCCTACTGCATGTAATTCCTGTGTCCGCTTAATAGAGTCAGTTGGTCTACACTTCACTGTAAAACTGAAGTAGTATGGGTAAAGAAGAACAGATTCAGGCTTTCAGTTAATCTAAAATGGTCAGTTCCTCAATAGTGTCTTCAACTCCCCTTTTGATCTCACACTTCCTTATGGAGGAAAATCCCTGCCAACGCCAACAAAACCTGGATTCTTACCGTCATTGTTCACATCGATCTTCTGAAATACCATGTTTGTGAACTCCTCGGCAGACATGCTGGTGTGGCCGTTAATAGCCTGGATAGCCTGAGGGCAGAAATGCAGAAAGTTCCTTCAGACTTTTTTCCATCAAGTTGTGAAAACAATACACTAGCAACCACAGTAATTGCGATGCAGCTCTTTAGTTCACCAACCCTTTCAAAAAATCGTTAAATAAATAGCTATTTCAAGTAAATCTTCAGTAATGAGGATTGGAAATTTAATTAACATAGCACAGCCTGAAGATTACAGACTAATTTACATATCTCTGAAGGTCTTCTGAAACCATGTGGCACCTCTGCTCTGCAGTACACTTTAGATTCCACACCAGCATTTTTATCTGACCCTAGAGAGTTCAGTGTCTTTGGAGAGTGCTCTATGGTCTGTGTGGTTTAAATATAGTATTGTTTTTCACAGCTGAAAGCATATGCAGAGAAAGTCTAAGTCATTTTTCTGTTAAGACATGTTTAACTTAGTAATCACAAATAAAGTCAGACCAGCAGTCCTGGAATTTGGCAGAATTTACTTGTCCTCCAAAGAAATTAAGGAAACCGGAAGCTTCCCTCTACTTTTTCTGGGGCAAAATGACCCAGTATTTGGAATAAAGGTATAAATGAGCATTTTTGCAAAATTGTGTCCCATTCACTGCGACAGTAGTTTTTGCATTATGGTGATCATTTGAGTTAATAAAATAGGAGCCTATATGTTAATAGCCGGTGGTTCAGATGCAACAAGCATGTGTTTACAGAGTTAGATTCAAACTCAATATCCCAAGTAGTAAGGGACTAGGAAAATATGTGCATATATGTTTATAAATACACATGCATATATGTTCTGTAATGGGCATACTATAGAATCTGGTTTTCTACACCTGAATTATCTTGAGATGAACTGTGTTGTGTAGGATAATTCACCATATGTGCCAGTTGTTTCTTCCAGTATTCCTGGTATTATGTTAGAACACATACTTAAATAAAACATAAGTTAAATCTATTCAGCACTGATTTGGAATTCTTGACCATCACTGTCTTTATCTTACTTCGCACAAATGACTTCCAAAAGGCAGCAAGAATTTTACAAAAATAGCTACATAATCTTGTTTTTATTACTAATCCATACCTTAGATACTTAAGTGTACTAAGTGCATACAACATACTACTAAGTGTAGTACATGCTACACTTGGTACATACTTTAGATACTGTTGTTTTACATGTCTGACCATGATGCAGTCTTCAGAAGAAAGTTGTTCCTCTACCACAGTTAAATTTGTTGTAGTGCTAAGAGTAAAGCAGTAGTTCCTGAAGTACTTGGGTCACTGACTACCACAGAATCACCTTAAATAATAAAATAAAATAACTAGGCATTGAGAGGGGGCCTGGTTGTCTGGAAGGAATTTTGATGGTTGATAATGATCTGCTGGTCTAAAGTTTGCATAGCTGTAGGGACAGATGAAGTTTTAATAGGACTTCTGTGATTTAAATTAATGTCTCAGATATGACATATCTTTTTAGACAAACCCTTGTTTACTGATGCTTAGTATAAGCAGGGTCCCTAATGGCTATGAGCCTGTATTTTTATTTTTGTTTAGAGCCCACCAAATTTAATCTCGCCTAGGTCAAACGATTGAGGCAGGTTTAAGTTAAAGGTCTGACACTCCAAAAGAGAAGAAAACACACAAAGGCTTAAATTGGTTTTAAAACCAGGTAAGCTGAAAAAGAAATCTTCTTTACATTAAAAGGATTTTAATTCTCTTTTCGGATAAAGCCCAAGACAAAACACAGTTGCCTCATTGCCTCTGGGTGAAAAATGATGGAGAATATCTGCAAAAGAAAGATGTCATTAGTCTTATATGAGAAGACATCTGGGAGATGCAGCTGCTTCTCCCACCTTCAGAAAACTGCTCTTTAGAAGGTGATGCATCAGCTTTATTTTTTTGACCCCGTGGCTCCATCTGGCTCCAGTTCCTTTTAATTTGGGCAGCAGCTCTAGAAAGTCCCTAACAGTGACTAGCCAGGCACCAACAGTAATACAGAACTGAGAAAAAGTATGTTCCTTGTTTGTTATGACATTAAATGCCTATTTAGATTTTATGCTCCCTGCAACAAAACCTTGATCTACAATGAGTCCTGTACATTTAGGGAGCAGTGTTAAGTCATTCATATTTTCAAGGAACCCTATAATACCTTTTGGGTGGAAGCAGCTACTGAAGTGCAAAATATTATTTCACTAGAGCAAGTTGAAAAATCCAGAAATAATTTTAAAGAAAGAATTTCACTGCTTTGGTTTTATGGATTTGAAATGGACCCAATTTGTGCAAAATTTTCTACAATATTTGTATCTAAATGTCACTGCATGATTTTAATGTAAAATTAAATTTCCCCAATCTAATTTTAAAACAGGGCAATGGCATTTGTAGTAGACAAATCTAAAAGCCTTTCCAAAAAATTAAAATATTGGAATATCATGATGATATCTATATTGTTTCTTGCAGCAAGTTCAGTTTGAGAAGCCAGTTTTCCACGATAGACTGGCACAAACAGTTGTAACCAGCAGTTTTATTCATTATGCTGCTTCAGTTCTACCCTGCCTTATAGTATAGTTTATCACAATAACCTCTCTACTGCCTCTGCAGTTTTTCACTTTCAGTAAAGCAGTATATCTGTAGAACTATGGGTTAAGGTAAAATACTTCTTAGATATGTTTACTTCAATAAGCAAGAAACTAATGGCAGGAGTGTCGCTGGCCAGAACAATTCTGATTTTACAACTGTAAAACATTAGGTAAAGTGCAGACAATCCATTTACAACACATGATGAACCTCTGTTTCAGGAGCAATGCACTTCGTCAAATGCTCTTGCTATTGGTCATAACTTGCTTACCGTGAATATGCTTAATAGTTCTTTTTTGTCAATACATCCGTTTCCATCAGCATCGTATAGCTTAAAATACCATTTCAATTTTTGGTCAATTTTTCCTCGTATAACCAAATTTATTGCAGCTATGAACTCCAAGAAGTCTATAAATCCGTCCTAAGAGAGAGAGAGAAAAAAACCCACTATTTAACAATGTTGGTTTTCTGTTCATTCTGGCAATTTCACAGAAACAGGGCATTGAATTCACTGTAATATGCACTGATTTATAAAGTACCTTAACGCAGAAATCTCCTGTGGTGTTTAAAAAGGATGCGTTCAACTGGTAGCACTATAGGAAGGGGTGTTAGCACAGACAGTTTTGCTCTCCCCTGAAAGCTGGGGGCAGTGGGAGGCAAGTCTATTCTGAGCAATTATTATTGACATTTTTGGAGGAGAAAAACAGTTTTGTGACAGATTTCCACATGCAAAAAGAGGGAGTTTGGGATATCTGGTTTGGTGCTAATGAGTTGTCTACGGCAGAGTTGCTTATATTCATATGGGTCCTGCAGAGCAATGGATGATTTCCAGTGCAACAGAGCTGTTGCAGGTGTTATTCATCTGAGAGATTGCATAGTAAATGTTGTACATGGTAACCAATAACCTGGCACAAACCCCAGGTATTGTGGTTTATCCATATAAACATCAGGTCTCTCTGACTAATACATTTTGCATGGTATGTAAAGCCTTAAAGTCATAACATAGTTTCTAAATAGTGAACATTGGGGCATATTCATAGGGAAGGAGCATTTCAGATCAATTTAATTCCATATTTTCTGCTTCCTTCTCTGAAGCTACTGATGAAAGCCTGTCAAGGACAGACCTCCATGGTCAGGTTCCTCTGTTTCTGTAAAAATGTGATGAGGATGGAAGAAACAGTTGCTGAATTTGAAGAGGACTTGCTCCAACTGTTTCTTATGTGCATATAAAAAGAATTAACAGCTGGTAAATTTAATCTTGTGATCTTTACGTTGGTCAGAATCCAATTGCTTGGAAAACCTTGGAAAGACTATCATCAGTTTCAGATGGCCTGTTGTTGAGAAGAGAAGGTTGGATAAGTATCTAGTAGGTTTAGCATGTTAGTTGTTTTTATTGTCATATATCAACACACGTCTTGCCGGTTGAGGTTTTGCAATCAGCAGGCATTAATCTGTCCTCAAGACTGTACTAGACTGAAGGAAAAGAAATCCTGTAAGGGTGTGTTGCAACTCATTGCCATACTTGTAGTGCTTGTTTTGACTTCTGTGCAAGGCTGTTTGGCAGAGTGGCACCTGAGAGGTAAATCCAACGTTTCAAACACACTGGATTCACTCTACGTGCTGAAATGCTGCGTGCGTAAGTTGTGCAGACTGACCCTTGCTTCACAGACTCTCTGTGCGGGTTCTGCTGCAGTTGCTGAATTTACCCTAATTGCAATCACAGCAAATGCCGCAAAGGCAAAGACGCCATTCAACCACTGTTTGGGATTAAATGAAATTTGACAGTAACTGCACAGAGTATTCAAACAAGATTAGGCCCAGTATTAAAAGCAGATACTTTACCAAAAGTGACACGTCACATAGCACAAACTTTATGCTTCTCTTTGGCACACCAGCTTGAATTTCAATTTTGCAAGTATTATTTCAAGAAGCATCTCGTCAAGTATTTTACTGGAGGGTAAGGTTTATTTTGCTAATTACATTTCTGTCATCTGATTTCATAGATCTGTTAAGAATGTGGTTAGATGTATTTCACATTGCTGCTTTTTTATTGCATTTCATACTACTTATTGAAACTACAGATTAATTTTAGGCTTGGTGGATCCCTATGATCAGATTAATTTTCTTCTTTCTCCCTTACATTTCACTTTGGATTTTGGAAAATGGTATTTTACGTGCTTACTTCCTGTGTCTCAGTGTCACTGTTGTTGCTCTGACAAAATATCCGAAGCTTGGACAGCGTAATAATCAGCTTAATATGTTTGGGTATGTAATTCTGATCTGGTGGATTGTTTGGCCTGTCCCAAGCAGAAAGGGACTGAAGGCCAAGGTCAAAATCTCCCACCTCTGAAAAAGACCTCAGAGAAATTGTAGTTGCCAGGAAAGCCCCAGCTACGTTCTGTAGACATGCAAAGGCCATCGGCAACATGTTAACCTCAGCAGCCAGCGCACCAGCAATAGAAATATTGAGAAGGCAGACACATCTGTTTACGTGATATGGAACCAGAAGCATTGCACAAACGCATTGATGAGAAATGTACTGGTTTTCCTTTCTACGCTAAAAAGCATACATTGTAGGTAGAAAAGAAAACATTTATGTCATGCAGAAGGCTGTAGCAGCCTTGTTACACATATAGAGAGCTTTCTCAGATAAAGAGAGATACTATGCTTTTTACAGGAGCATCCAAAAGCCTCAGAGTAGTACATTAAATAATGAAAAAAAATCATAACAGTAACCTATGAAGATCATCCTGTGATTCTGTGAGCACAACAAATAATACAATAAATGGGTTATGATGTTCTTAAAAGAATACTGCCATGCTGATTTACCCATCTGCTGCTCTATAACCATTCACAATACAAGTATCTAGATAGGTCCTTACGTATCTCCGGGTTCTGTAAAGCTTCACTCTCTGCAGCACACACAGTAAAGTATCTGTTGCTCTTTAGGAAGTCAGTAATTCACAAGCAAAGAGCTACCATAAAAATAGTAAATAATAATAAAATAAAATTGAAAAAACACCCAACAACATAATAAGCAGAGCTGATTACCAGTGGTGGAAGATATAAATAATTTACTTCTAGTGCTTTAGTCTTACTATTCCAAAGGGCAAATTTCTAGTATTTTTATTAAATGGAGATAATGCTGGTGAAGCCTGCTTATTTAGGAGCTTAGGGTACGGGGCAGATTTGGGTGATGGATGCATTTGTTGTGTGTGAAGGCTTACTTTCCCTGTCTCTATGGCACTGGCCCTGCCTTCCTCAGCTGCAACCCTTTACACTGGGATACCATGGGCATCTGGAGGGACGGTGAAGTCCTGCTTCCCTTCCCTGCCCAAATGGGCAGAGCCAGCTGGGGTAGGCTCACCGGGTACCTGCTCTGGAAACGGCGTAAAATAGCGTTACACAACAGGAGTTAATACCCCAGCCCCAGAGCAGTAGGAGGGCATTATCCTTTGGTTCCCAGAATAGCATTCCTAATCTTCATGGGTCCTTAAAAACTCTCACAGCTTCAAACTATTTGAATACAGATTAAAAATAATTGACTTGTCAGTTATGAATAAACAGCTGACCTTAAACGGCACGGTAATTCAAGGTTGGGCCAGAATGATCTGAACTCAGTATTTTGGCTGCCTAGCTCGTACCGGAGGGTGATTTCCTAGCAGTGTTGATGCAGCGCTACTGGGATAGCCAGCCTTCTCCTGCCACACACCGCGGCTGTGCATGTGGAAAGGGGCGATTTCTGTCCCTGCAAAACCCTCCACTGAGTCAAGTCTTTGTTTTACTTGGAGCACTGAGGACTCTACCAAGACTCTATATGCAACAAGCAGTGTCTTGTTTCCAAAATTTGCTCCTGAAAAATCTCTAAACTCAACCAAACACCAGAAGAAGTCCTCAACAGGCTTTATCAGGATTAGCAAGTGTGCAAATATAGATAGTCTAGGTATTTCAAACCTAGGGCTTAGGATGTTAAGCCACCTTCCCTCCCCACCCCCAGTCTTTCACAATACTACTTAAACCTCATAAGGCAGAGGGAGGAGGCAAACAGCAGATTACAACAGCTCAGAATAACTGTGAAATTTATAGCTAATCCTATGTGCTCCTCTCTTTCTCTCTAGACCCCATTTCAAATACAGTGCTGCTTTCTCCACCCTCAGAAACCTAAAGGAGGATTCATTTAGCTCCATTTCCTTGTATTCTTTTTGCTTCTGAAGACTTCCAGCTGTTCCTCAAAGGTTGCATACACATTATTGAAGAAATACAGAGCTACTTGTGACTCAGTTGCTTTGGCACGTCTCTAAGGTCTGATGTTGGAGTTTGGGGGTTGGAGAGAGCTCCAGATCCCCTAGGGGCTATGGCCAGAATCACCAGTTTCCTAAGTAAACAAAGCTGGCATTTGTCATGGGGTGGGGGGAGACTCTTGGCAGGAAAAGGCTATTAGATAAGGATGAAGAATGAAGCAGGGAATTAGGAGCTGCAGATCGTTAAGTGGTTTTGTGATAGTGGTGTACCCACTGCTATATTAAGAGACAAGAGTGTATTGACCAGGCTGTTACACAAGATTCTGCTTTGCCCAGATGAAGAGGACCTGTGAGATTTGGGGACTTAGAACCTTCGTGTTAGAGGAGTTGGAAATGCAGAGCCAGCTATGTGTCCTGGCTCAGGCTTGTAGGCTCCCCTGGTGAAACCTAGTGAAATCTAAAATGTTAAGATGACAAACAATTTAATTTCTTTAAAATTAACAACTACCCCCCAACTCCCAGCCATCACTCACAATTTTCTTTCAAGATTACTGGAAAAGCAGGGAGACAGGGAGATCACCAAGGCATCGGGCTGGGTCTGTGCTGAAGGCAGGCATGTGCTCAAGGACCTAGCCCTCTGCCATCATCTCCTGCGTGGGGGATTCAGCTTCCTGCACCCCTAATTTTGAGCCTCTGCCTGTGCTTTTAGGAGCAGCTTTCCCAACTTAAGACAAAGTGCTAGGCAAGACAGAAAAAAAAAAAAAACTCAGCCATGGCCACATAACACATTTTCCAGCTAATTTCTTGCTGACAATTCAAATGAATTTTTCTTATTTGACAAACCCAAGATTGTAGTAGGACAAACCTCCAGGAAAAACACTTAAAACAGTTTAAAGACATACATCTCTTCTAGCGGCCAAGATGCTCTATTTGGCAGATTATCTTGGATGTCTCTAGATAGTGTTTTTAGGAATTAATGTCTCAAGGGATATATGCAAGAAGGCTCCTAAAAGTTAAACGCATACACTGTCATTCGTTAAACTACTTGGTATTATCAGATAAAGGATCTCAAGAAGGAAAAAGTTAATACTCTCTACCTTCTTTACCTAGTAGGCATTTTTTATTTCTGTAAAAAATGGGAGATTACAGATCATGTTTTGTCACAGGAAAGCAGTTACCA